GACTAGGAGGTGGTTAGGGTGACTCAGTGGGGCATATTTGGGGACTTTTGCTGATGCTGAGAAAGTGAGAAGGAGCCAGATGTGGTGGTATACACCTGCAATCCATGTGCTTGGGAGGCAAAGTCATGAGTGAAGATCACTAGTTCAAGACCAGTCTGGGCAAGAGAGTTTGATTTCACAATGGCAGAGACATCCTAGAGCAGATGTGAAGGAGGCACATGGAACCTAAAGCTCAGAGGAAAGGCTGCTCATTGTTGCCCGGTCATACAGATTCCACCCCGTGCATATCCAGGCTTCCTGCTATAGTTAGTTTTATGTCAACTTAACATAAGCTAAAATAGTTTTGGAAGAGGCTCTCATTTGAGAAGTGCCGCCATCAGACTGGCCTATAGGCAAGTCTGTGGACGTTTGTTGATGACTGATGTGAGAGGGCCTAGTGCACTGTGGTTGTTCCAATCCTTGGCAGGTAGACCTGAGTGGTATAAGAACATTGGTGGAGCAAGCTAGTAAACATTGTTCCATAGAGGTCTCTACTTAGTTACTGACTCCAGGTTCCTGCCTTGAGTTCCCTCAGGGATGAAGTGTTACCTGATAGTAAGATGAAATATACCCTTTTCTCCCCAAGTTATATTTGGTCATGGTGTTTTATCACAGCAAAAGGAACTAAGATAGATGGAAAATAGGTTGTATTTCATGAGCCAGTTCTGGCAAATTCTAATACCCCTTGGAATGTTATGCACTGAGAAACCATGAGGCCTTACTCAGGGCTGGCAGGCAGGATGGGGTGCTGTGGTTGATAAAAAACCATCTTCAGAAATCTGGGGCACAGTGTGATGGGAAGCAGGAATGCCCCTGCCCTAAACAATGTAGAGGCTGAAGACTCTGTCCTTACGTAAACAAGCATTGGTAATATGGATCAAAGGCTCAAACTGATTAAATTATAGCTTGGCCCAGTCTATCAACTCATATTTTTTACTTCCTTATTCCAGCTCCTCTTCCAAAGTAGCTGTGGATTCCATTTCCCTGTGGGTCCTCCATGAATACCTTTGACCTTTTCACTAGATTCTTAAGCTACACAGAAACTAGAAGGTTCTGAGTGTCTCATATTCACAGAATGTTCTGAGTGTCTCGTCTTCACCTGGGATCCTCTCACATCCTAGAGGTTAAACAACCCATTATTGTGAAAACTCACCCCAAAGTATGGCACACTTGAATGCAACATTGAATCATTTTCATACCCCTGGGGGGATGCCAAGGATGCAACTGGACAGATTAGTAATGTGTGATCATTGGTTTCTTTATTTCTTCCCAAAAGGAACCACGGGTGAGCGGTTTCATTCTGAATAAAGCTATGTGTGCATTCAGTAACTCATTTACTTAATCACTAGGCTTGTATTCGGGTACCTACTTCATGTTGAGCCACAGCCTTGGATCTGAGTGTAAAGATAAATAGACCCCATCTCCACTAAGCCTCACCTAGATATGTAAATAGACTCAGGAAGAGCTGGATCCATTACTGTGAATATTTCAAGGCAAGTCAAAGAAGACTCCTCAGAGGATGAAAAGACCTAAACTCGGCCTTCAAAGAAAATTAAATTAGAGCCATCTCTTGAGGACAAGCTGGGAAAGGGCATTGCATGCAGAGAAGCCAGCATGGAGCTGGTGTGGGCATGGGAGAGGGAGGCTGGCAGATGCTGAAGCCTAAGGGAAGTGGGAGGGGGAGGCAGGACTGGTGCCCTAGAAGTGTGCAAGGCCTGGACATTGACTGGAATGACTTGTGCTGCAATAGGAGCCATTGTGAAAGCTCTCACAGCATGGGGGACAGGCTCTCACATGCACTTAGAGTTTGGTGGCAATGGAGTGATGGAGGAAGGGAGAGCAACAGAAGAGAGAGAATTGTAGGCAGCTGGAGGTGAGGAGGCAAAGGAGAAGAAGGTGAGCCTCACGTCAGCAGTGAGGGGTTGGGTGGCAGGTCAGGACACGTGACAATGTGGAGAGATGAGGGCACCGTTTTCAGATACTTGGAAATGAGAATCGACAAAATCTGGCAATCACACGGCTGATCAGAGTGCAAATGTGCAAGCATGGGGCTGGAAACAGGAGCCTTGCCACACGCTACGCAGGGTACTTTGAAAATGCTGCTGATGAGGCTGGAGTCGGATTGACTCGGCTGCCCACGGTCTTTCTGCTGTTCCACTCCAGGGAACTTGGCTGCTGCTCCCATCCCTTCTGCTAGGAGCCACAACAATCAATGCTCTTGAGAAAGTGGTGCCGGTGGTTTTACACACACAGGTGTGTGGGTGCCCATTCTGCCCATCCAAATACAGCAGAATCCTACTTTTAAAAACTCGCTTAAGCTTCCTTAGCTGGGAAAATTGGTCTGAGTTTCTTATCGGAAAGAAAAGGTAATTTTTTTTCCTCTTCATCTTTTTCCATTTCTTTTCCATGTTCTTTATCTCTCATCATCTGTTAGACTGTGAGCTTCTGGGGATTGCCTACATAAGATTCACTCCCAGGGCTTCAGGACTCTTGGGGTCCCAAGTGGCCCAGCCCCACAGAGTGTACATTGGGCCCATGCAGGTGTCATTTTACTGTTCCACTCCCCAGGTTGACCTACATGGATTAAATCCATATTGTAGATGAATAAACAGAGTCCGGATGACCAGCTGTCAGAGCCTGATCTTTTTTACTTGTTTCTTGTCTTGGGAAACCCTCTTTTTTGGGAGAACCCACTGTGACCTCGAGAGAAAGCTTTATGGATGAAGCATGTTCTTAATGTAAGTCCTTGGCTGAGACTTCACCCCCGAAGCACCAACAGCTTCATTCCAGGAGACAGCAGGCCCTGGGAAGGTGACCTCAAAGCTGCCTTCTCTTTCTCCTTCCAGACCAGCTCCCTGTGTGAATCCCAGGGTGAGAGATAACAATTTTCTCCCATTTGCTTAAGAAACAAAGATGCCCTTCCCCCTACCACCGCCCCCCCCAAACAGATAAATTGAGCCCAGGAGTTATTTGAAAGCAATAGCCTTTGAAAAAAAAATGTATGGTGATTTTATTCGAGTCCCTAAATATTCACATGGGAAAGTACTGCTGGGGTGGGCTTGTTTCCAAGAATGCTCAATTGAAATTGTACATTGCTAGGCATGCTCAGTTTAAGGTCAGAGTTCAAGAAGGAAATGCAGCAAACAGGTACGTTTATGGACGTCTTAGCTGGTGTTGTAAAGGTGGTAGACAGGAATACTTTGGGGCATGCTTAACTCCTCTCCCCAGAAAGGTTGCAGCTGCAGCCAGAGGAAAGGTTGAGGTGACTTACTATAGAAGCTTTCCCCTAAAGACATCTGCCTTTCTTAGTTGCTGTAGGTAGTGAAGACACACGATTTCCTGTTCTCTCTCAGAAGTCCGTAAAATAAGTACTATAATCTACAGCTCATGAAAGAGGAAAGTGGGATTCATTAGTATGAAGGGCTTTGAAACCCAAAAGTCAAAATTCTTTCCTACATCTTTTCATAACCCACACATTTCTCTCTACATTGCTTCCAAATCAAAGCCCCCTGAAAAGTTGTTCTTGTAGGCTACCCAGGGTGACCCTTCCCAACCAGGCCAGTGGAATGTCAGAGGGTTTTGCTTACATTCCTGGTCAATGCATTCTGAGAAAGATGAAAATTGGCAAATGAAAGGAAATCAGAGAACACACAGAGTTCAATCAGTGATATGAGGGATGAGAAGAGAGTGATGGAGACTAACAATTCTAAAAAGAAGTGCTTGACTCTGGGAAAACCTTCTCTCAGAAGAGGAGAAGAATGTGTATGGAGTGCTTACCAGTACCTGCCACTTCCCAAGAGCTCTGAATCATGAAACTCATTTAATTTGCCGACACCCTTGAAATAGTGCTAGAGCCACTTACAGTTGTAAGTGGGAGGCCCCCAGAGGCTGAGCATCTTCTTCATGCTCCTTCACATCCTCAATTACATAGTCCAAGGAGTCTGAGCCTAAACTCTACATTTTGCAGACTGACCCTGCTACCTACATGATGGCCAAGAGTGCCTTGAAGTGAAAAATCTCAAGTCTGACTTGAGAGTTCCTACTTTTGAATGATTTTAAAGAGACAGGAAATTAGAGAGGGACTGGAAAAATAATCCTGCAATTAAGAGTTCTAGCTGCTCTTCCAGAGGACCTGGGTATCATTCCCAGCATGCACATGGTGGCTCATGGCCATCTGTAATTCCAGTTCCAGGGGATCTGATGCCCTTGCATGGTCTCTGTGAGCACTAGGTCCATATGTGGTACACATACAAGAAAACAAACAAACAAAACACTCATTAAAAAAAAGAAAGAAAAAGAGAGAAAGAACGAAATCAGAGACAAAGCTGTGACAAGACACAGATTCCTAAATCTCAGAGTCAATAATCCTGTAGTTAGTCTCTATGAAAATCTCCCCATGATGTATACAGGCCTGTTCTTCTGGCTCTGGCTTCACACTAGAGTTGCTTGGCAAAATTTTGTAAGGCATGGTCATCTGAACCTACTTCCTAGTCAACTGAATCTGAATCCCTAGAGATGGTCCCTTAGAATTCATGCTTTTTGAAGTTCTCTGGGTGATTCTGATGGGCAGCTTGGAGCGCAAAGCACTGATGGAGGCAAATGTGATGGGCAGCCACCTCTGCTAGAGCGCTGACTTTCTTCTATGCAGCACCCCAGGACATTTCCCCAAAGGCAGTCTGGCCTGCAAGTGCTTCAAGGACAACCATTGTGCATGTCACCATTCCTCTGGCGTCTTCCAACCCTACCCATCACAATGACAGCTGTGTCATAGACGCACACCTGTTTGGACATCTCTGCTCACCAATATCCATTGTTAATTCAGTGTTCTGTAGAACTCTACTTGTCTGGTCAGTGACTCTAGAGTGGTCACAGTTGGAGATGAGTCACTGCTAAAGTTTCCAGAAAACTTGGAATTAGAGGTAAGCAAGAACACAGAGAAAATAGAGACCAGTGCCTTTGACTCATTGGTACAGGTATGACTGTTTATTATCAGGGTTCAGATCAGAAACAGCACTTCTAACATCGAATAACAGAGGACCGAGATGACCTCACAGCATCTCCTCTCAATTTAGAAACAAAAGGTGGGCCCCTGCTGTCCTCAGGCCGCTGTAATGGCTAGTCACATCATTTGTGTCTTCCAGTGGGTTATGTTTGTCTCTCATGGCAGACTTTAAAAACATTTCAGAATGGAAACATTGTGTTCAGTGTCTTTGTGTCTAAAGCCTTACAATTTCATACCCAGCACAGAGTAGACAACTAATAAAGGTTTCTTTGGTAGGGTAGGCACTGGGGCAGACATAACTTACTTCCTGAAGCTCTTCACTGTGATGTGCATGTATGTTGAGGCCAGGGCACACGAAATCACATACCTCAGGTAGAACGAGAGATAAGAAATACACATAGCCAAGAGACACAAGAAAAAGATTCAATTCCTCACTGAAAATCAAAATGAAGTAACTTTTAAAATGCAAAGGATTCATTTCTTATCCATCAGCTTGGCGAATGATTTAGACTCGGCATACCCATGACTAATGAGCATGTGGGCAATTAGTAGTCTCAGAGATTGTCATGGGAGCATACATCAGAATAGCCTTTCAGAGGGCACTCTGCATAACAATTGTAAGGATGGATACTTTGATCCAATACTTTATTTCTAAAAAAGCATATGAAGGAGATTATTGACAGTGTACAAAATGTACTGTTTATAATTTTAAAAAATGGAAAGAGCCCAGTTGTCTTTAAAAACAGGAATGATTAAATAAATTAGGGTACATCATACAACAGGATAATGTGCTACCATTATGAATGATGGGGTAATCGCTAAAGGACTAAAGAGGAAAGATGTTCATGATGTATTGTTAAAGAAAAATGTTGATTGCAAAGTAATGTGGCTCCTATGATCAGATTTTAATAACATGTGCACATCTAATAAACAATACCATGCAGGCATGTTGAGATGGACAGATGATAGATAGATACATGATAGGTAGACAGGTAGACAGACAGGTCAAGTTATCTCTAAGGATAAGCATCTAATTGTGAAGCAAGATCAATGTCTTTGAAGATATTCTAATTTTTAATTTAAATATATCCTGCTTTTTAATTTATTTAATAATCTACATGAATTGCTTGCTTTTCCAATTCATGACATCTATTTCTTTTTCCAAAGGACAAACACAATCAAGCGTAGATCTTGGCCCAGTGAGCAGTACAGGGGATGGCCCTGTAGTCCTCTTTCCCTTTAGGCAGTTTGGGGAATGGCCATGGCATGCTTCTCAAGTGGGAAAGATGAGGAATGGCCCCAGAGCGTCTCAGGGTTCTTCCATATGCTCTTTCTGTGGCTCTGTAGTCTTGGTAGGCAGGTACCAAATCAGTACACAGTGAAAGAAAAAAGACTGGAAGGGCTCCCAAGAGCAACCATCTGGATTCACCTGGACTGAGGGATTTCCTGCAATGCAAAAAGAGAAGGTTCCAGAAACTACTCAGGAAAAACAGGGACACTTTCCCTTCCTGTTTGGGAAACCTACTATAACTTCCATGAGCCTCTTCTGAAGCCAGAATACAGGTTTCTAGAAGCCAGGAGAGGTAGTTTTTAATCCCAGCTCTGTCATAAAATAACCTTGTGTCCTCAGGCAATAAATATACCAACTCTCTGTGGTCCTTAGCTGCTTCTTGTAAATGAAGAAGGGACAGTAAAAGATGTCTTGAAGATCCATCACCCAATGGCCACTGCCTGGGTGCTGCCATCATTGTAAAGACCATTCCACATGAGAAATGCTCATCATTTCTTGCCTTTGGACCCTTGGCCTTTCAAGAGTGAAGACCATGTCTTTCTTCTTATTTGCATCCTCAGAGGGGCACATGGGAGTTGCCTGATACAACTTTAGCTGGGAAGAGAAAGTTACATGTTTCATGAAAGATTCAAGACCTTTCAACCCTCTATCCATTCAGATGTGTGACTCCTCCTCCCTCTTGGGTTATAGGTAAGTTATGGTACCTTCCAGAAACTAAAAGGAAGTAAGCCCACACTGTCCAGAAAGAAAAGTTAAGTCAGAAGTCAGAACTTAACATCTCCATAGCTACATCATGAAGAAACTGAGTCTCTCAAAACAGCAAAAGCTGGGGGAGATGCCTCAGACCTCCAGAGTCCAGTGTATGCAGAGATGTAAGGTGGCTCCTGCTACTTATAGGGGCTGCTGGCCTCTTGTTCCTACCATGAGCACACGAGAGATAGGCAAGGTAGAACACTGTCCTGACTTCATCCCTTCTGCTCCCTCCAATGCCATGGTCTGAGCATGGATTCCCTGAAACTCTAAGTTCTGAAGCAGCAGGCAGCTGTTACATGTTTCTCACAAGTCCAGAAGTCAGTATGTATCTGTTTGGCCTCTCCAGGATGCATGTAAATTACCTTACACAATGACTTATAACTGTCCAAATACCATTACATTCCTGGATGGTACTCAGAAAAAGGGTAGTGAGTAAGAAAGGGTGTGGTAGACAGTAATGGATCCAGGTATTCAGATGTATCCAGGAACACGTTCCCAGATTCCCAGGCATGTTGTTTTGCCAAGACATACCTTTCTATGCATCATCCTCAGCATACATAAACCTCATAGAGTCCAGAACGCCCATATCTCTCCATCTTTATGACTACTTCCTAAAGTCATTTCATGAGCTCCTGAACTGGCCTCCCTCACCCCCTTCTCTTGTCTCACTAATATGGATGATGAAGAAAAAATAGTAAGGATGCCTGCAAAAGAAGAGGAGGAAGAAGAGAGGAAGAGAGCAGATAAGAGTCATTGCTCGTCATCTCAAGCAAAGTTATTGTGCTAGCAAGTCAGGCAGAGAGAAACAAGAAAGATTCCGCCAAGGAAGAAAAAAAAAAATCTGCGGAAGGACGAAGGTGAGGCTCTTAAAGGGAAAGGAGGTGGTCAGCACAAGGTTGCCAGGGGGCAGTGAGGAAGCAAGACAGGAAGATGGAGAGTGTGACAGGCCATTCCATAGGGGCCAGTGAGTTCTGGATGAAAATAAAACACAGAGCCCCTGTTCACGGTGGGGAGATGAAGCTGGGGCCTTCCAGAGTGAGCCTCCCGGCACTGAGTGGCAAAAGACCTTGCTGTCTCCGAACACTCTAAGCTTCAGCCCCACTCTGCTTTTACCAAAAGTTGTTTCTTTCCTCCAGTGCCAATGAGGTTTCCATGGGCTACCCCCCTGCAGCTTCCCTATCCCCACTGAGGTCTCCTGTTTCAGAGAAGGATGTTTTGCAGTTCACTGGGTCTGCTCTTGAAGTTCACTTCGATGCTGGTGAGAAGGCTTGGTGGTCAAGTTAAGAGCACTTGCTGTTCTTGTGGAGAATCCAAGTGTGGGTTCCCAGCATTCCCATGGTGGCTCATAATGGCCTATGGCTCTGGTGCCGTTTTCTGGCCTCCTTGGGCAACAGGCACACATGCAGTGTCCATACACACACGCAGGCAAAACACTCACACATGAAATATTAATGAATATGTCTTTCTTCAAAGATCAGTTCAGCAACTTAGTGAAGAAAGCCGTGTTCTCGTCTGTTTCTCAGGTAAGCAAGCTGAGGCTAGATGGAGTTTCAAGGCTGAAGAGCTAAAATGTGGCCAAGCCAGAAGTTATGCTTTTTGTTGTTGTTTCTGCAACAACAAAAGGCTGATAATGGGAACTAGGGCCTCACAAATGCTGGCCAAGCTCTCTGCCACTGAGCTATGTCTATATTACCAGTGTTTTCATAACTTGGATCTCCTCCCCCAGCTCCAAAAGCAATATATTCTTATTATGAAAAACATACAAACTAATAAAATAGTGAAATGAAAGTCACCCATAACCCTCTACCCAGAGAGGAATAAAAACTTTGTCTATTTCCTTCTGGTCTTTTTAATTAATTCTTCTGAATATTTATTAATTTACTTGTTTGTAGAAGTGGAATTATCTTGAATAGATTCTTAGAATCCTCTCTCAAAACACCCCGGGTCTGCAATGGACAACCTTTCTGAAGCTATGGTCTAGTCTCCAGTTGATTTCATTTGTCACACAGCCAGGGTTACACCACAGTTCCTCTAACTTCTTTTCTACTCCTGGACAGGTAGGTTGCTTCCCATTTGGAGGAGTTAATGGAGGACTCCAAGGAAGGTCCTTTAATAAAACCTCTGTGTGCCCTGGCACTGGACTTTGTGATTTCAAAGAGAGAGTGTGGTAGACATAGAGACTCAGGGCAGACAAGCAGATATGGAAAATCAAGGAATACAGTCACAGAGCAGAGATCAGGGACTTGTCAGGAGAATGGGAGGTGTGGCTTTGTGGGATCTGATAAACTTTCATGGGGAAAGCCATAGGTGATCTGGAGTCAAGTCAACAGACTTTATACACGAGCAATGGTGTAACTATTTAATGCTTTGCAGACCACATGGTCTGTCCCAATTAATTAACCCTGTCATCAGTGCACCCCCCCAAAAAAAAGGTAGTCACAGACAATACAGAAATAAAAGGGTATCTCTATTCCAATAAAGTTTTATTTACAAAAGCATGCCATAGGCTAGATTTGGTTTACAGGTATAGTTTACCAAACCCTGGTTTAAAGTATATATAGATGTTTATGGGCTTATCAGAGAGTCTTAGATGGTTCATAAGAGTCTCAGGCTATTCAACTAGAAGGGACTTTGAGAAGCAAAAATATGAGAGGCAAACTCAGAAATGTACTATCAGCCTTTGGTCACTACAGTGAAATACCTGAGGTAGTTCACTTCATGAAAGAAAAGGATTTATTCAGTTCCCAGTTTGAGAGGATCAAAGACAGGGGGCTCAGTTCTGGTGAGTGTGGATGACTGCATTACATCGTGGTGCATGGCAAAGACAGTACTGCCTGCTAGAGGAAGTACATGTGTCCTGACAGGAAGCCACAGGGGAAAGGGGAGGGACCAGGATCCAGCTTTTAAAACAAACACCCCCCCTCCAAATAACCAGGCTTCTGGGAGAAATATCTTAACCCCTTTGGAGGTCACACACTCAAGTGTCTAAGGACCTCCCACTAGTCTCAGCCTCTTGAAGGTCCCACCATGTCAACAACATTCTGAGAAACAGGCTCCCCACACATGGACCCTTGAGAGACTAATCATATCCCAAGCACAGCAAGGGAGCAGGGAAAATGAGATATTTCATGGTCGTCTTGTAAAGATTAGAGCTCAGTCATATGGATTCCGAATGCCTGACTGTAGAATGCTGAAAGTCTGTGGGATTTATTGTGTAGTAGATAAAGAAACTATTTATTTGCATGGGGACGTTTTCATGTATAGGGATTCATAATGCTCTGAGAATGACAGCTATCTCTTAGAAATCCTGGGAAGGCTTCCAAAACCTAGAAATGATGTTTTTGGCTTTATATTTATCTGGGTTTCTGTGTTCTTGTTTGTATTCATTAGCATCTTATAGTTTATTAGACTTCGGTCTATCTAGAGACCAGAAGCTATCCAGTTAGAAGAAACGTGTGGAGACAGACAGACAGAGGAAGAGGAAGGAGCTACCCACAGTTCGTTACTGGGACTCACCTGCGGCAGAGCTGGAGGGAGAGCAGCTGGCCACCCAGGTGTGCAAACATCAGCTGACTCCTTGGGCTACAGAACAGGTTGTCTCCTGGGTATGGTTCCCAAAACATGTCTCCATCTGGATTGTTTGCACAGCCAGCCTGGAGGTCTTCTGTTTCTTCTCTTTGCACAGACCTCATCTTGTTCTAAGACACGGGCTTTTTCACCTCCCAGCAAGCCGCAGCCACATCACCTCAGAACACATTTGGAAATGCAATCACAGACCTTGAATGGTAAGCTGGGGAAGTGGGGAAGGGGCAAACTGACTCATCAAGCCCTCCTGGGGATGTGGTATCCCCACTAAAGTGGGAGAGTCTCTGCCTACGATACCCCAGAGCCCATCCCAAGGATACTGTACTACTATTGATCACTGTATACAACTTAATTCCAATAATCCTACCAACCAGTTCTTATCCTTTAATAAGGGAGGTTTTTTAGTGTGCCTTGCACCTGCATTTTCTTTATTGCAAAACCCATACCATTGATTGTCATGTTCTCGGACCTTTTCTTTATGGATACGCTAAGCAGGTCCATAGACATACACTTCTGCAAACACTATCCTGATTTATTTACTCAATAAACTTTCATTGACCTCCTGTGTCAGACACTGCTGTAAGATACACTTTACATTACTGAGTGGCTAACTTCCCTAAGCAGGTAGGAAGCAAGAGACACTGGCTCAGGTAGGTGGGGTGACCTGTCTCAGGGCAGTGTAGCTCTGAGGGTTAGAGAATGACAAAGGATGATGCTCAGTGGATCAGGTTGTCAGTGTGTGGCTTTATTAAAGAGCCAGAAGCTGAGCCAGAAGCAGTCATGTTCACAGACATGGGAGCCTCATGGCCATTTCAGAGGTTCAAGTGAGCAGGGATGAAAGGAATCTGAGGGGTCCAACTGATTGGGACCCCCAAGTGTACTCTGTATCAGAAACCTTGAGTCCAACCCCCAAGACCTTCCAGAACCTTGGGTATTAATTCCATCTCTTCTACCAAGCTGTGTAATTGGCCCTTTCTGAGCCTCAGTTTCTCCACTGGCATAAGAATCCATTGATGGATTCCCAACGCTTCTTTATGCTTAAAAGACTTTATTTAAATGATACTTGGAACTGGTGAGAAAGTATTTAGTTTGTGGTAGATGAAGGGAGGAGAAAGCAGCCCCTTTCCAATACTTGGCAATTAACACAGCACCACATAGAGAAAAATGACAGCCATCCAGCCAGTCTGGACACCTGCAGGGTGACACCCACATTGTTCCCCTGCCGTCCCTTGAGCATGCCAATCAGAGCCTTTGCACTGAGTCCCCTAGGCCTGGAAGACACTGTCCGGACTGTGACTCCTTTCAGTCAGCTGAGATGAGATTCAGCCTTCTCAAGCACAGCCCTCCTCTTTCCCTGACACTCCAGTCCTCTCACCTCCCCCTCCTTTTCCTTTGTCCATGCCTGCACCACATCCTGCCTCCTGTCCGTGGTTTACGACCATCTCCCTCTTCTAGCCAGCAAGCTCACAAGAACAGGGTTTCTGTGTAAGCCACAGAATTTCTTCATACAGTAGGTCCTTCCGACAGATTTGCTGTGATGAAGCACAGAGCCCTGAGGGGGTTGTGTTGTCTAGGAGTGTCATCCCATGTAGCCAACCAACGTAGTCTGTGTTTCCCCTGGTCCAAATCCCAAGCAGGTTGTCTGGCATAGGACCAGAGTCCTAAGGACACCAAACTATAGCTGGACTTCCTAACTTGCTGAGAGACAGAGCTAAGTCGCTTGCTTCCTCCACCCCCACTACAACATCTTGGTGCTGTATAGTCAATGACACAGGAATCATTGGGAGGGCATTGAAGAAAGGCTGGAAAAGGAAGAGAAGATAGAAAGAGTAGGCTGTGTTACTAGAGGGGCCTGGAACGTAAAGTCTCTGGATGCTGGACCATGCATCTGTTTCATCTGGTCAGACCCTAAACATAGGAACAGAACAAGAGGGCAAAAGATCAACACCTACCTATTAATAGATGCTGCTGCAACTAGGCCTTTCTAGAAGCTGTCTTGATTATCCTCCTAGGACCCATGGGACATGCAGTGAACCCCAGATAAACGATGTAAGCTGCCTGGGATAGCCCAGCTAGTGAGGAGCATCTGCAATTTAGATCCAGCTCAGGCCCTCAGGATCTCTACCTCTGTTACTCCAGGAGGGTTCACAGTGAAGAGGTGTCTGACTAATTCCCAGAGGAATGGAGAAGACCTTACAGCCTGTAGCCTCGCTTGCCCTGTCTCTGGTCCCTGTTTTAGCCTCAGGCCCTGGTCCTCATGAAGCAGGAAACTCTGGTCCTGAGTGCTTCTCCTGGGAGGCATCCTCAGAAGGGAGGCAGCCTTGGATGCCTCTTGCTTCAGATAACCTCTGAGTGTTTGCCAACATCGTTCCCTTTCCCTTCTGCGCCCAAGGAGCCTGCGAAGCTAGCGACAAGACGTTTTGTCTGGCTAAGCTTCCAGACTGATTGAAAGTCTCAGAGCCTGCCTCCTCCGGGCTGCTCTTCCTGGAAACAGTTGCCATGGAACACAGGACGATGCAGCCTTCACTGTCAGAACTAATGAAAGTCGGAGAGCTATTAGAGGAAGATTTTTTTTTCCCTCCCTCCCCCTTGGGCATAATTCTACTCTTCAGCGAGGTGTTTGCATTTCTGTCCTGTTTGTGAGATGTTAATTGTGTCCTCATTGGAATTCCTTGTTCACTGCCCTCACCTCCCTCTGAGCTCCAGCCCTGGGAGAAGGCAGCCTGTTTGAACTAATGAGGCTAACTGACCAGAGGGAGGGCAGTCCCCGCCTCCCTCTGGAGTGACCTTCCCTAAGCAGCTGCTGATCAGACCACACCACAGCTCAAGAGCCTCCTGTGACTCCCAGCAACCACATGACACCAAGTTCCATGACTCTAGGGTGTCACCGTGTTTTGCCTGCTCCCCTCCTCCTAAGACATCCTGGGCCAGAGTCACACAGGGCCAGCTCTAGCTAGCTCGGGTGGCACTGCTTATGCCTATGCCTTCTGTCTAGCCTGCCTTACTGGTCTCTCTTTGTCCATTGTCCCAACTTTCCCACCTTGTGAAATCCTCCATTCCTGCTCCAGGCAGACCCAGGGTTCTTCCCTTTCACCAGACCGTATATAATCCACTGTGATTTGACTGTAGATCTGTCTTCTTCTCTACTCTATGACGTCTTTGAAAGCATTTCTGATTCACCCCAAAATTTCTAGAGCCTAGCACTGTGCCTGGCATTTAGCCCTTATTCCTTCCCACTCCTCTGTTAATTGGGTAAAGGAAGGCACAGCTGAGCCCTAGAGGCCCTGAAGAAACTCGAAAACATCTTGGTGAATTGCTGTTGTAGATTGCACCCACCCACTCCTGCCCACCCACCACAGAGGCAATGAGAAAGGAAAGCCAGGTCTTGGAGCCCTAGGAGGGAGCTCATTCGGGCCAGTATTTATAGTATGGCAATTAGCTCCCTTCTCTAGCACCCCTGGAGGTGCCGGGAAACCATCTGAGAGAAAGTCATAAAGAAAGAAAGGGGCAGTATTGCCATAGAAATGGAGGGAGCTGCAGGGAGTGGCCCCCAGAACTCTAGATAATGCTCACCTATAAATGGAAGGCCTTACTTAGTCCTGGAAGAAAGAATCCAAGAATTCTCCATTCAGCCTCTGCAAGGAAGGGTTAGTTATTCCCACTCCCAAGAACCCCAAGGTTCCAGATCAGATCTAAAAGGGTCCCCTCAGTTTTCCCCCCATGCACTGCTGAGGAAGCCTGCTTTGTCCTGGAGGACTATAGCTTCTCAGGAGCCAGCCTGGGTTAGGGGGGCTGGAAGCAGCTCTCCTGTCCAGGGGCAAGCTAAGGGCAATATGCCGGAGATTGATGGGGCCTCCACATGCCTCCCCTGGACTCTGGTAATCACCCCACAGTTGTTCATTCCTCCTCTGTTCCTCCCTTGGGTCAGTTCTGTCTTCTATCAGTGTGACACTTGGAAGATGCAATTCTGATCAGGTCACTTTCCTAATGAGAATAAATCAGCAACTCCCCGTGGGTTTGGGTTTAGAAGTTCTCAGCACTTTGCAGAGAATGTAGACTAAATCACTACGCTCTGGCTCTGGAATCCCCTTCTCCCCCCAGTTCCCTCTGCTAGGACCCTGCCCATGTATTTTCATCTCAACCACAGGGAGTCACCAGTGTGTCCCAGTCACTGAGCTCTCCTGCCCCAGGGACTTTGCCCTTGCTGTGCTCACTGTCTGCCCGGAATGGCAGTTACTACCACCCACTTCCCTTTCCCACTTCTAACTCTTTTTTTCATTTTGAAAATCTCTACCCTTCTCAGGGAAGATTGACTCTTGGACTCCCCACAAAATAAGTGCCTCTCCTACAGAGGCCCTATGGTCCACCAGAACAAGCCCATGCCCCATCAGAATCCTGCTTCCTAATTTCCCAAATACAAATCAAGTCCGTTGAAGGAAGGCTATGCTTGGGAATGTTTGTTTCTTGAAATCTAACACACAGTTGATTTCTAAGCAGTTGGTTTAAAATGTCACAGGGCAGAAACCACAGCGAGGCAAGAGAGCCCCATAGGGTGCATAATTGAACCCCTATGTGCATGAGTTATTATTAGGAGTTGTTCACCTCGACTTTGCTTGTCAAGTGCAGCAAGCGTGGCGTGGCTGAGAAAGCAGCATCTATTTGGGAAAGGGACAGAGGAGGCTGTCCTTCCTAGGAGGCCCTGGTCCATGTAGAACTTGAAAGCATCTTCTGCTTCATCAGAGTCTCCATGGAGATCTCCAACTCATGCATGGAGGATGAGATATGGAAGACGTAGCCCTCCCTAAGTGCATGGACTCCTGAGCTGATGGCTTCTACACTGAGTTGAAGTGATGTTGTTCATCGATTCCATGGAAGACACAGCCAATAGACTTTGTTGAGATGCCCACCTAGCACTTGTAAAGATGGTCCTTAAATGCTACCATTAACAGTCACTTGCAAGGAGAAGGATACACCTCTAAGCCTATACGCACTTCGAGGGATACCTCTCATGTTGTTTACTACACAAGACTGGGGGCACAGGTCACATAATTAGCACATCAGCCATGCTCCTGGATTTTTGTAGCATAGTGGCCATGTGCCCCCTGATCCCTCAGTCACATGTAACTCCAGTCCCACTTTCCTGGCACTCAGAACATCCTTACCTACACCCCAGTACATGAGAAAATGTAAACTGGATGCTAACAACCTGACTCCAAAGATCACACACAGTCAGCTTCCCTTGCATCCCAGCTGGAACCTTGACCAAGTCTCTTTAGTGTTCTCCTCTTTGCAAAGGAGACCACTTGATTGGTACCTGGAGGGAAGGATGGGCAACTCCTGTGGTGGGCTGGAGGGACAGGAAAGGGTTCACACCTCATAGGAAGTTGGGATTGGGAGAGTTAATGAAGTCATCATAGACCTGGAGCACCTTAGAATCCAGCTACTCCTAGCCCTCCAGTTTTCTGCTATGGCAACTGGACTGTAGCAACAGGGAAGTTGCACTGAGAATCACCGAATGAATCAGCAGCAAGGCAGGGTCTTGTGCTTCTAGCCCAGGGCTCCTTCAAACACACAGCTGCATTCTTAGTGATGGAGGGAACCTGACTAATAGCTTTGATGGGCTTTTATTCAGAATCAGCTGGAAGATCCATGCTCTCTTCAGTCCTGCTCATTGAAGATCCTCCCACCCACAGTGCGAGGGGCTCTTTTGAAAAAGACCAAGAACACCGTCTCAGTTCCCTGCAACTAGGAAAGGTTTTGCTCAGCAACCCCTGGTGGCCTCTTTATGAATGCTGGCACAGCGCCAGGAGGAGGTGCAAACTCAAAGCCACTCTGAGTTTGGTCAAGATACCATTTGCACTAAAAGTCCTCAGGAATTGTTACAATGTGGCCTTCATCAGCCAACCCCAGACTTGCCGGCTCTAAGGATCTAATTCACAAGCTTTCCATGGGAGACTGACACAGCATGAAACTTGAAAACCAACATGCAGAGGTCACAGTGAGAAGAGGGGACCTAAGGGATGTCATATATTCATCTACTCGGGCTATTCTGGGTCCCTGATAGATGAGTGATTGATTGACCGGTTGATTGGTTTAGTGATTGATGGATATCCGTAAAACAGACAAAGAAGTGAAAACTAGACATCTGTCACAGTTAAACTTTGCTCTGTGTGCACGTGTATACATGTATGTACATGTTGCTCTGTGCAACACACACACATACACACTCACATATACACAGAGGAGGAGAGGGAGATAGAGAGAGGAAGAAAGAGGGAAGGAGAAGGAGGGAGGGAGGGAGAGAGAGAGAGACTGACTGACTTTACTCCAGATGTATACATCTCCAGAAACCTACAAAAGACATTTGGGCAGATGTCACCAAGCTTGTTGGGCAAAGCCTTGTCTGGGTTCAGGAAATTGACACACTCCTGGTCCTTCGACCAACTGGGGGCACTGTTGAAGGCATCATCTGGAATCTACAACCTCAAATCATTTTCCCTTCCTGAGAAGGCAAAGCCCATCCTTTACCTCCCACCGGAGCACCTGCTCTCCTGCGAGCTGGGCCTAACATTTCACTAAGTGGGATTTGCTGTACTGTTTCCAATCAAATTTCATTTGCACTTCTCAAAACTTCTTGTATCTTAACATCCTTGCTACGCGCTTGGCTCTGGCACTTATGAGTTCTATTACCCCTGACACCTTCTTTTATCCCTATAAGCTTCAGTCGCCTCACATATAAATTGGGGAGAATAGTTCCTGGCTAGTAGTGAGTATTAGAGATAATCATAGGAATTCAATAAATATTAAGTCTCTTCCCTCCTCAACCCTATTTTCAAGACAAGTCCCGGATAAGAAATCTCATGTGGTTTTCTGCTCCTCATTTGCTTTTCCGTGACCCAACTCCCTGGTTCAGTTCCACATTGTACCTCATTCATGGGTGCATAATGGGTCTTTACTTCCGCTGTTCTCTTCACCTAGAATAAGCCACACTGTCCTGCCAATCAAAATACCATGATGTTTACAGGTTGTGCTCAAGTTCTCCATACTACTTTAGGAGACTTTCTCTATCTTCAGGGGGATGAATCACTCACCTCCCCAGCACATGAAAATATTATCGAGAAAGGTCAGTGACTGCCAGGGAATGGCATTTCACATATGAAATTTTGTTTTCTGCTGGTGTTGAACCATAATAATCGAGAACAGTGGACCACTTTCATTTTGTCAGACAAAAATATATTTCTAAACCCTGTGTTCTAATGTCAGTATCATAAAACCTGGAATTTTAACACCTAAAAATGTAAAAAAAAAAAAAAAAAAAAAAAAAGGGGGGTGGGGAGGGATGGCGGTGTCTCAAAAGTCTTAGTCATTGTCCTTTAAACTGAATAACCTGGCTCCATGAGAAGCTTAACTCCATTGCTCAATTTGTGCTTTCTGCTTTAGACAGATGGGGATGCTGTCACATGCTAGCTCCAGTACAAGGATTGGGGAGTCCACAGTCCCGCTGAGTCACCTGCTATATGCAGTAATGTTTCCTGGAAGCATCCAGACAGTCCCCACCCCCACCCAAAGAACTTCCTCTTTCTGAGGGCTTGCTATGCACTGTGCTAGCTACTTCGTGAGTTAGTTTTTCAAATTATTTTCCCCACTCCTGTAAAACAAGCTCATGATTCCTACCAGCACCCGAAGCACAATGTGACCAAGCAAGATCACAAAGATGGTGATGGAGCTGGATGTACATGCCAGAGTTGGATCTTGATTCTTTCCTCCAAGCCAAGCTTTGTCTTTCAGAATTGGAAACTGTGTTTCCCGGTGGATATAAGGAAATATGCTTCTCTGGTCCCTCTAGATTTGTACTCAGAGTATGCAGATTTTCATTTATTAAATAAATATTTTTAGGGCTCAGCAGGTGCAGTTCTGCTAGGAGAATTCTTTCTCAACATGCATAAAACCCTGGATTAGAGCCCTGGTACCACATAAAACCAGGTGTGATCGCGAATGCCTGTGATTTGGGCACTTGAGATACATACATGAGATCCTATCTCAAAATAAACAAATAAATGTAAATAAATGAACACTGGTGTTTAGGGAGGACCTGTAGGGCACTGTCCTGGGTGTTGAAACTCACAGGTAACATGGCAGACAGGATTGCAGCCCCGTGGAAGGCACAGTATTGACATACTCACACCTGCTAAGTGATGAGCAATAATGCAATGTCTTATTAGTGACTCCTTTCTAAATTCCAAGGAGTTTTTAAAGATCATGGTGACAGCCAGGTGTGCACAGATGTTAAAAAGTGCCCTGGGCCTCTCTGGGTTCAGTAATTACGTTTTCCTCACAGCACCAGTGTGTGCTATGGAAATTGATGAGCCACAGGCCTTTTTCAGAATGACGAGCCTGCACCCAAGCTCCACTTGATTTATTAGAAGAATGAACTGAATTTTAAAAAGACAGATGCAGTATTGATTCTATACCTTAAAATATGCCCTCTGTGCCTCCCTGCCCAGCCTGGGCCCCCAGACCCATCTGCTTCAGAGAAGACAGACCACAGACAAAATCTTCCCTTCAGTGACTCATTACATCCCCTCAGCCATGCTCTGATCTCACACCTCTTCAGACTTGCTCTGCTCTGCTTCCCACCTGCCTTCATCTCATGGCTCCAGGGCCACCTTTCTAGATCATTCTTGGTGCTCCAGTTAAAGGGATCCCAGAGCGAGGGCTAGCGTTGAACTATTAGGCCCTTCACCCAAGGCAGTTTCCATCTCGGTTCATTCCCTGGTTGTCCTGGGTCCCAAAGGATAAAGTCCTCAATCTTGGCCCCCCAACCAGACTTCAATCATGTCACAGTCTGAAAGGAGCTTCCCAATTCGTGCCTTAAAAACTTGGCATAGCTTCAGGGGTCTTCAGGGTCTAGCAGTGCTTGCCCGTGAAGGTACTACTAATATTTGGGGGAGAGGCAAGTAATTCCTCCTTATTAGCAAGCCCACGGTCCCACTGTTGGAATGCTTAGTATTTTTTTTCTTTCAGAATTTCTACCTGGTATTTATTTTTGAATTAATTCTTTGAGAATATTATACAATGTATTTTGATCATGTTCTCCCACTTCCCCAAACCCCACCTTCCCCAGACCCACCCCTACCTTCCCTATTCTCCCCCAAACATTGTGTCCTGTTTTTTTTTTTTTTAAATAAAAAACATCAAGTCCAATTTGCACTACCCTTATACTCTTGGGGTACGATCATCTCCTGAGGGTTGGTCGACCTACCAGGGGTCCTATACTTACAGAGAACTGAGTCAGTCTCTCTCTCTCTCTCTCTCTCTCTCTCTCTCTCTCTCTCTCTCTCTCTCTCTCCCTCCCTCCCTCCCTCCCTCCCTCCCTCCCTCCCTCCCTCCCTTAATTGCCAATAGCTCCTTGGAGAGTAACTGGACTTCATGTCTATCTCCCCCTTCCATGCTGGGCCTTTGCCTAGCTGAACTTGCACAGATCTGCATGCTGTCACAACTGCTGTGATGGCATTATATTCTGTTTTGTCTAGAAGACAGCTTCCTTATAGTCACTCACTGCCTCTGGCTCTTACAATCTTTTCCATCCACACTTTAATTATTAACTTGACACAATCTGGGGTCACCTGGGAAGAGATTGACAATGAAGGATTGTCTAGATCAAGTTGACTTGTAGGCATATGTGTGGGGAATTATCTTGATTGCACTAATTGTTGTGGGTAGACCTGCTCACTGCAGGCAGCACCGTTCCCTGGCATTGGGTCCTAGACTGCATACGTGTAGAGAGGGTGCTGAGCACAAGTAAGCATGTATGCATTCATCCTCTCTGTGCTCCTGACTGTGGGTGTGACCAGCTGCTTCAAGTCCATACCTTGACTTGCCCACACTCTTGGACTGTAACTGGAATCACAAACTAAAATGCACCGATTCTTCTCTAAGTTGTTTTTGGTGAGGGCATTTTGTAACAGCAGTAGAAATGAAACTAAGGTAGCTGTCCTCCCCTGGAGAGGACACCCAGGGATGGGCACACATGACGCCACACACATCCAAACGCTCCTAAGAGAAGATAACCACTTGAGAAGCACAGAAGTCATCGATTTGCAAATGAAATGACTTGTTCAAGGTCATTTGGAGGTTTCTGGCAGACCTGGTGTGCCCAGCCAGAGGCCACAGGGCGTAACATGAAGTGACCGGAAATAAGAAGCAGGTCACTTTTGGAAGAAGAAACAAGAGAGAAGGAACTCAGGAAGGCAGAAGTGGGGCCAATAATCCAGCCCTCCTTCCATCTGGAAAAACCCCCTCTCACAGTTCTGCCCAGCCTGGGCCTTGGAAGGGTCTGCATTTTATTTCTCTATACAGTTACCTGAATCAAGATGGGAAAGGGATATTTAAGGTGAACTAAGACACTAGTGCCACTCCCACCAAACTCTGGAAACCCCTTATAATCCTGGCAGTGACCTGCTTCTCATGAACACACTCCCTTTGGGGGTGTTTCTCCTGAGAGGTCTGGCTGGATAGACACATGGAAGCTTGGTTATGCAACCTCACCCTCTCCCCTATTACTCCCTACCCATGTCCACCATTGCCTATGAAGACTCCTGAAAACAGAAACAACTTTATTCTCAGGGGAGGAATTAGAAGTCTCGCCACCCCTCTAGGCCAAGAGGAAGGATCCCTGCTACACTTTCCTGGGGAAGAAAAGCAGTCAGTTGATAAGTAACACGCTGTAGATGTTACAATGACTGTAGATGCCTCCAACCTAGAGAGTTCTGTTCCAGAACACTTTACAGTGGGCAAACTAACCCCAGCCTGCAGAACTGCAAAACATCCTGAAAAATCAATCTGAAGACATATCTGAGATATAATCTAAACCTTTTTATGCCTAAGTTTGACTTTTCATTCAGCCCATGAAATACAGCGCTATGTAATTCCTTGGAAACTTTATAAAGATCCAATTACCTATGTAGTAGAAGTTAACTATGTAAACTTAGAAAGACAGTCCACCGGGATCCAGACAGCCAAAGCAATTCCTGTAGGTCTCTAGCAGGTAAGGATCCCAGCTGCTAGCCTGTCTCAGGCAGGTCGATGGATTTGCTACTGATACCTTCAAGCTTAAGTGGCAGCATCAAGGGCCTGTCTAGCATCTCCCCACCATGTAGCCAGGAACTGGGAAGTGGAGTGATGTCCTGTAGCTCTACTCAAGGACAGTCTTCACCAAGACACACTGAAAAGGGTTACTGTAGCAAGAAAAGGGTTACTGCACTAAAAGGACATGGTGGAGTCTGAGAAGTCACCACCACCTCCTTTTCAGGAAAAAGAGAAGGCAGCTAGGAGAAGCACAGCAGAACTGTCATTCACTGGAGTTGGTCCATAGCGCTACTGAATCAAAGTGAAAAGGCTCTGAAGCGCTCACCGGGGGATGTCAGTCGGCTGCCTCCTGGTACAGAGGAAAGAGCATGCGTGTGCTTGGGGATTAGATGCACCCAGAGCCTAGAAACCCAGGTCTATCTACGCCTATAAGTCATGTCCACTTAAACAAGGTCTTGATATGAGCTTTGTAGCTTCCTCAACTGCAGAGACCACAGCAGCCCAGGTCTTTATGAATGAAACTAGAAGGAATTAGGGTTTCCCATCTCCTGTTTCCATGGGAAGGGAGGCTGGAAAGGAGATTAGCATTGCGTGGTTGTGGAAACGGTGAGAGGGGGAAGAGGGGCTGTTTGGGAAGGAATTGTTTTATGGAAATCCCAGAGTTAGTGGTACCTCTATATCCCCAAACCACAAGAAACTCCTCAAATAAAGCCATACCCTGTGCGGTGAGCGGAGGGGTTGAACCTTTCGGCTTCCCTCAATCTCTCGCTTCCAATGTTACCGGATAGCAGTGCACTGAAGGAGGCTCAGAGAGAGACAGCTAGTCTGGCCCAGGAAGCAGACAACAAGGACGTGTCTGGCACCTCTGAGCAAGGGTGTGGGAAGACAGGAATCTGGACTACAGGCATCAAGCAGGGGAGACAGCAGACTCTCGCTTTCCCAACCAACCTAACTGGCTTCACTTTCCACATCTCAAACACGTTTTGATACACAATATCTGAGACACATAAAAAGGAATAAATAATAATAGAATAAGCATTTATGGATCTACCGACGTATAGGAAGTGAGACTCAGCCAATGGGGCTGAAGCCTCGGCACTCCTTCATGAACACCCCTTCCCGCAGAAACCATCGTCACCTAGAATTTAGACTTTA